ATCAGTGTTAAGTGACTTGCCTAGGGTCACACAGTTAATAAGTGAGGCTGGATTTGAACTCAGGTCCTCCTGACTCCAAGGCCAGAGCTCTATCCTCTGTACCACCTAGCTGGGCCCCAGAGTCCTACTTTAACAAAGACTTTAAAGTTAAAAAGCAGACTGGGAAAATAAGCAAACTATACAAAAAAAAATTGACCATAGAAAGTTATTATGGTGACAAGGAAGATCAAAACACACACTCAGAAGAAGATAACAAAGTCAAAATTCCTATGTCCAAAGCCTGCCTGCAAGAAAAATATGAATTGGTCTGAGGCAATAGAAGAGCTCAAAAAGGGTTTTGAAAAATCAAGTAAGAGACGTAGAGGTAAAATTGGGGAAAAAAATGAGAGTGATGAAATAATATTATGAAAAAAGAATCATCTGCTTGGTAAAGATAACATGGAAAACAAAAATTACTGAAGAAAATAACACCTTAAAAAATAGACTAGGCCAAATGATAAAAGAGGTATAAAAAGCCAATGAGGAGAAGAATATCTTAAAAATCAGAATTAGTCAAATGGAAAAAGAGGCACAAAAATTCATTGAAGAAAAAAAACCCAACTCCTTAAAAATTAGAATTGGCCAAATGGAAAAGCAGGTACAAAAGAAAATAATTCCTTAAAAATTAAGATTAAACAAATAAAAGCTAATGACTTTATGAGAAATAAAAAAAAATAGAACAAAACCAAAAGAATGAAAAAAGATAGAAGACAATGTGAAATCTCATTGGAAAAACAACTGACCTGGAATATAGATCCAGAAGAGATAATTTAACAATTAATGGACTGTCTAAAAGTCATGATCAAAAAAAGAGCCTAGATATCATCTTTTAAGAAATAATCAAGGAAAACTGCCCTGATATTCTAGAACCAGAGGGTAAAGCATAAATTGAAAGAATCCACCAATCACTTCCTGAAAGAGATTCTAAAAGGAAAACTCCCAGGAATATTATAGCCAAATTCCACAGCTCCCGGATCAAGGAAAAAATATTTTGAGAAGCCAAAAAGAAACAATTTAAGTATCATGTACACACAGAGAGGATGACAGAAGATTTAGCAGCTTCTATATTGAATGATCAGAGGGCCTGGAATATGATATTCTGGAGGGCAAAGGAACTAGGATTACAACCAAGAATCACCTACCCAGCAAAGCTGAGTATAATCCTTCTGGGATAAAAAATAGATGTTCAGTGAAAGAGAAGACTTTCAAGCATTCTCAATGAGAAGATCAGAGCTGAATAGAAAATTTGACTTTCAAATACAAGATTCAAGAGAAGTGTAAGAAAGTAAATAAGAAAGAGAAATCATAAAGGACATTCCTACATGGGAACATGATACTTGTAACTCATAAGAATTTTCTCATTAGGGCCACTAGAAGGAGTATATATAGACAGAGGGCACAGGTGTGAGTTGAATACGAAGGAATGATATCTAAAAAAATAAAATTAAGGGATGAGAGAGGAATGCACCAGGAGAAAGGGAAAGGAAGAGGTAGAATGAGGTAAATTATCTCATGTAAAAGAGGTAAGAAAAAGATTTTACAGTGGAGGGGGAGTGATTGAACCATACTTTCATTAGAATTAGCTCAAAGAGGGAATAACATACATGCTCAATTGAACATAGAAATCTATCTTACCCTACAAGAAAGTAGGAGGGGAAGGGCATAAGAGAAAAAGGGGGTGATAGAAGGTATGGCAGATTGAAGAGTCGGATTTGGAGTCAGAAGCAAAACACTTTTAAGGAAGGACAGGGTAAAAGGAGAGGGAATAGAATAAATGGGAGAAATAGGCTGGAGGGGAATAGTTAGCAAGTGTAAGTGTGAAAAAAATTATAAGCTAGTTTCTTTAATAAAGGCCTCATTTCTCAAATGCATAGAAAATTGGGTCAAATTTATAAAAATAAGAGCCATTCCCCAATTGATAAATGATCAAAAGATATGAACAGTTTTCACATGAAGTAATCAAATCTATCTATAGCCATATGAAAAAAATGCTCTACCTCCCTGCTGATTGGAGAAATGCAAATTAAAACAATTCTGAGGTAGTACCTCATACCTATTAGATTAGCTAATAGGACAGAAAAGGAAAATGACTGACGTTGGAGAGGATGTGGGAAAAATGAGACTTTAATGCACTGTTGGTGGAGTTGTGAACTGATTCAACCATTCCATAGAGCAATTTGGAACTATGCCCAAAGGGCTATAAAACAATGCATACCCTTTAACCTAGCAACAGCACTATTAGGTCTGTATCCCAAAAGAGACAAAAACAAAAAGGAAAAGGAACTACATGTACAAAAACATTTGTAGTGGCTTTTTCTGGCGGCAAAGAGTTGGAAATTGAGGGGATGCCGATCAATTGGGGAATGGCTGAACATATTGTGGCATGTGATTAGGATGGAAAATTATTGTGTTGTAAGAAATGATGAGTAGGATGCTCTCAGAAAAACCTGGAAAGACTTATATGAAGTGATGCAAAGTGAAATGTACTGTGTACAAAGTAACAGCAATATTGTAAGATGATCAGCTGTGAATAAATTAGCTATTCTTAGCCATCCAATGATCCAAGACAGCTCTGAAGGACTTATGATGAAAAATGCTATTCATCCCCAGAGAAAGAACTGATGGTGTCTGGATACAAATTGAAACATACTTTTTAAACTTCCTTTATTTTTCTTGAGTTTTCTTTCCTTCCTTCCTTCCTTCCTTCCTTCCTTCCTTCCTTCCTTCCTTCCTTCCTTCCTTCCTTCCTTCCTTCCTTCCTTTCTTTCTTTCACAACATGACTAGTATAGAAATGTTTTGCAGACTGCACATGTAAAACCTATATGAATTGCTTGCCTTCCCAATGAGGGGGGTGGGGGTAGGGAGAAAGGAAAGGAGGGAATTTAGAACTCATAGTTTTAAAAACGACTTTTAAAATTTGTTTTTACATGTAATGGGAAAATCAAATATGAAATGAATAATTTCTTTAAAAAAATGCTAAAAATATTTTATTTTTTCCCAATTATATGTAAAAACAATTTCAAACATTCATTTTAATGTTATAGGAAATCAGGATTCTTACTTTCTATATTGTAAGCACTCAATAAAATTTGAATGTTTCTTTGGTCTAGGAATGATATAAAATGAATTCAGGGAGGGGACAGTGGGCACAGTTCCTGGACCTACCTGCAGAACCCCTGTGTGATTTGACAATATACAGCCACATAAAGGCATGCTAGACTGCTTCTTTGCATGTCCCTGTTAGTATTAAGCATCTGTAGTATCTCTTTTTTTATGTCTGTTGACTGCTTATGAAGTAGGAAAGTTTCTGATCCATTGATAACCTCTCTTTCCAGATGCCACATCTTTAGTAGATAGCCAAAAATGTTAACGAGCACATTGGTAGCTTTCACAAAGGGTTTATTGAATGTCAGAAGAGGGAGTTCTGTGAAAAATTGAGTACATCTGAAAGAAGAAGAGAATAGAGATATGAACCCACCACAAAAATAATGGCTCAAGTTTGGCTCTTTTTGTGGTGGCAAAGAATTGGATACTGAGGGGCTGCCCATTAATTGGGGAATGGCTGACCAAGTGGTGGTATATGAATGTAATGGAGTACTATTGTACTATAAGAGATGATGAGCAGACAGACTTCAGAAAAACTTGGAAAGACATGAACTGATGTTGAGTGAAGTGAGCAGAACCAGGAGAACATTGTACACAGTAATAATAACACTGCGCAATGATCAACTGTGATGGACTTAGCTCTTCTCTGCAATACAAAGATGTATAACAATTCCAAAAGACTCATGACGGAAAATACGAACCCTATCCAGAGAAAAACTATGGAGTCTGAATGTACCTTCAAGCTTACTATTTTCACTTTCAAAAAATTTCTTGTGGTTTTTCCCTTTTGTTCTGATTCTTCTTTCACAACATGAATAATGTAGAAATATGTTTAACACAGCTGTGCATGTATAACCTATATCAGATTGCTTGCTATCTTGGGGAAGAGAGAGAAGAGTGAGAGGGGGAGAAAATTTTGGAACTCAAAATCTTATAAAAATGTATGTTGAAAACTATCTTTACATGTAATTGGAAAAAAATAAAATACTATTAAATAGAAAAATAAAAAAAAAGTAATGGCTCAAAATATGATGTGAATCTCATTGTAAACAAGGAATTTTTCTTAGATCATAATAGCTCTCATTCATTTGGCACTTTACAAAAGCACTTTCCTGACAGCCACTGAGGTAGTTCAAGTATGTTTATTGCCTTTTTTCCAATCAGTAAGCTGAGGCTAAAAATGATTTGTTCTGAGTTAAACAAGCTAGAGAGTTTCAGAATTATTCCATTAATGGTATTTCTAAGATGTGATGTGTACATACCCAAACAAAATATTCTAGATTTAGTCAAGGGCAAAGTATAGCATGCTATCACCTCAGTCATGGATACCATGTCCCTTTTTATGGAACAAAATATAACATTTTCTAAAAATTTTACTGGCTTTCACATTCTATTTGTATTGAGCTTCTCTTTCCTTCCTTTGCCTTCCATTTCCTATCCCTTTCCTTTACCTTCCTTTCCATTAAAGAAAAAAAAAAGATACTCAATGCCTTTTTTTTCAGCTACCTTATCCCTATCTGCTTTTGATCTCCCCTCTGACACACTTAGATCTTTCTTAGATGAACTGAAAGCAAAAAATCATAGAGATGAATCAATCTAGAGTTGAAAAGGACCTCACAGGCCATGTAGTCTAAGCTTCTCATTTGACAGATGTGGAAACTTATGGAGATCACACAGGGAGTAAGCATCGATCATACCTCCCCCATTATGAAGCTGATTTATTGAACCTAAAGATTTACACTTATAAGATAATAATTGTAAAAGCACTCAGCACAATGCCTAGCGCATAACTATATGAATATTAGCAATAATAACACTTAAAATGATAATGATTATTATCCCTTTTAATTTTTACCTTATCAGATTTGTCCGTCCCATTGTTATAATTATCATTTGATTTGGTCTTCTAGATCTTTTGGATTCTGCCATCCAGTGATTTAGCTATCCCTCCCAGCTTTGTGTCACCTGAAAATTGATAAGCATTCCTTAATCCAAGTCATTGACAAAAATGTTAAATATCAGTAGATACAACATTTGGGGCACTCAACTAGAGATCTCACAAACTGACTTCAAGGGGCAGCTAGGTGGCGCAGTGGATAGAGCACCAGCCCTGGATTCAGGAGGCTCTGAGTTCAAATCAGACCTCAAACACACAACACTTACTAGCTGTGTGACCCTGGGCATGTCACTTAACCCTATTGCCTAGCCAAAAGAAAAAAACTGACTTCAAATGAATAATGATGATTCTTTGGGTCTGAATCCACCTAACTAGACCATCTCTCTCCAACATGTCAACAAGAATAACATGAGTTATGGCAAATGTGAAGCTAATTAATTGTGCATTCAGAATTCTTTTGGTCTATCAGTCTAATAAATCTATAAAAATTAGTGAAGTTAGTCCAGAATTATGTATTTGTGATAATTCCCTGCAGGTTCTTTGTGATCACTGATTCTTCTGCTAGATAGTCATTCATTCACCTTCCTAATACATTCTATAATTTTTCTAGGAATTAAAGTCAAGCTTATTTGCCTATAGTTTTCAGAATCTACTTTCCTCTCTGTCTTTGCCTCTTTCTTAACTGGGATAATATATACCCATCCCTGGCCCAATGCCACTTCCCCTTTTGTTATTCATAGAGTCTTTCAAAAATCCCTTTCAGTGGCTCAGAATGTGCATTTATCACTTCCTTTCATACCCTGGCATGTAGAACATCTGGACCTAGTACCTGGAACTCATTAAGGGCAACTATGTGCTCTCTTAAAATCTCCCTATTCATCTCAAGATTCATCTCCCTATTACCTATTTTGCTTCTCCCCTTCCTAACCCAAAGTTTATTCTCTTTAGCAAAGAAAATAGGCAGAACATAAAAACTGAAGTTTTGCCCCTACTTTGCCAGTCATTAGTCCATTCATTCAATGTGTGTCATCCCATTCTCCCTGAAGAACAGTCCTATTCCTCTTTCACATCTTTCCTCTGGCTGTAAAGCTCAAATAGAACCCCCCCTCCCCCTCAAACACACCTTTATTGTCCTGAGAATTCCTTACCAGCCAGTGCTTGCTACGTGATCTTTACATTTCCAGATGCTATTCTTACATGACTATGCCACATTTTTGTATTCTGGTTATGACTTAACTTGCCTCTATTATTTGCATGTCATTTCTCCCCCCTTCCCTTTCTAAATCTAATGTAGGGCAAGCTCAAAGTTGCAAAAATTTGCTGGATATCTAATCGTATGAAAGCCAAGAATGAAGTTAATCAGGAAAAAGAAAGTGACTTTGCCCCTGGGCTTAGTTTTTTTTTTTTAAGGGCTCTTCTCCCCTCTCCTAAGTTTTTTATCTCTCAAACTATGTGGAAGAGCAAATGATCTTTGGAGCTGAGAAAGTGGGTACTGTGTGCTAGAAGTATAGTAAATGGATGTTGACAAGATATAGTTTAACCATGGGGAATTAAAACAGGGAGTCATAAGGAGTTTCTAATTCCAAACAAAAGTGAAATCTCTCAGAAAGGTTACCCTTAATGACCAGGAAATATAGTACACAAAGCAGATTTACATCTGAGGGCATTAGTTAGCTAAATTTGCTCCTCATTCTACCTAAAAACAAAACAAAATAGGAGTGTGCTGAGGGCAAGGACACTCCTTCTGGAGAGATAATTCCATTTTATCCAAGAAGTAAACAAGATACTTCTTAGTCAGGGGAAAAGAGTCAGGCTCTGCAAAGACTTAAAAAAAAAATTTTTTAAATTTTTTCCTCTAGGCCAATGAATGGGTATGTTAGGGGTTCTGTTGTTGTTGTTTTTTCCTAAAAGAGTTGTAACAAGAAGGAAAAAAGCCTAAGGGATTTAAGCTAAAAGAGTAATGGCAGACTTTATTTATTTTCTTATGAGGAAGAGCTGTAGCATCTTAGCTCTAGCATCTTCAGCTAAAGCAAGGAAATGGAAGCAGAGAAAAGTTCCACAACAGTGCCCAGGGGATCCATCAATGGCAGTGATCAAAGTACCAGAAGGTAATAAGCATGAAAAGTAGCCACTGAAGACTAGACAGAAAGAGACTGATGGAAAAAGACTGGAAGGAGATTGATGCTCTGAAAGAAAATCTTTATCTCACAAAAACTACATGCCCCGAACAGATTGTAGATCATATGAGATGAACAAGGAACAGCACAATGACATCAGAAGTCATTTGTTGTTGAGCTGTTACAGTTGTATCTGACTTTTCTTGACCCCATTTGTGTGTTTTTTTTTTTTTGGTTTGTTTAGTTTTTTTTTTTTTTGGCAATGATGCTGGAGTGGTTTGCCATTTCCTTCTCCAGCTCATTTTACAGATGAGGAAACAGAGGCAAACAAGGTTAAGTGACTTACCCAAAGTCACATTGCTAGTGCCTGAGGCTGTATTTGAACTCAGGAAGATGAGCCTTCCTGACTGAGGCCCTGGCACCCTATTTACTATATCCCCTAAATGCCCCCCAGCAGAAGTCAGAGGGGCCCCTATAGTACTTGAAACATGAGTTGCCTCTCATCACATATTCCCTAGCTAAACATGTTACTTACAACTTGTGTGATATTGGAAGACAGAACTGGAAACTTTGCTCTAGGACCAGCAGGAAGCTTTCCCAGTTGTATTCCCTTGAAGTCTCAGAAGCAGCTGAGGTGCTGAGCTCTTTCTCTGTGTCTGTTTCTGTGTCTGTGTCTGTCTCTGTGTCTGTCTCTCTCCATGTCTCTGTCTCTGTCTCTCTCTGTCTCTGTTTATCTGCCTCTGTCTGCCTCTCCAGAAGACCCTGGCTCTGAAAGCCAAGTCTTTGATTTCCTCTAATAGGCTGCAAGTAAACATATGTCTCTTATGGCCACGGCCTTCTGCTGGAAGATGCAATTGTTAATGGGGGGGGGGGAGAAATTATCCCCCCACCCTCCGCCCCCCTTTGCTTCACTCTGTTAGAAGAGTTCTTGAGAACGGTCTCAATTCTTTTGGAGTGCAGCCAGTTTGCTTTTTATCAGAGCCACCAAAATTGTGATTAATTTCTCAGCCAGTTATTAGAAGTTCTTTATGCTCCATCAGTTCCCTTCATCCAATTGCCAATGGCTTATAATACTATCAAGTTAATTGTCAAATCACCAAGCATTTATTAAATGCCAGCCTCTGAGCAAAGTGTTGAGGATACAAAGAAAGGCAAAAAACAGCCCCTAGTCTCATAGAGCACACAGTCTAATGGGGCAGACAACGTGTAAGCAATTGTGGACAAATGAGCTACATTCAGGTTAAATAGAAAATACTCAACAGACAGAAGAGAAATAAGGGGGATGAGGAAAGACCTAGAGTAGTACAGGAGTAGAAATGTGGAGAAAGAAGGTTCCAAGCATGGGGAACAGTCAGTAAAAATGCAGAGTTCAGAGGAGTGTTATGTGTGAAGAACAATCAGGAGGCCAGTGTGTGTATGTGAGAAAGAGTGTGTGTGTGTACACATGAATGCACACATAAACACACTATATGTATATATGGGCAGATGTGTATGCATGTGATGTGCATGTATACATGCATATGCATATAGCTCAGTCATTCAGTTGTGTCTAACTCTTTGTGATCCAGTGGAACATAGCACACCAATGCTCTCCATGGGTTTTCTGGGCAAAGGTACTGGAATGGTTTGCCATGTCGTTGTCCAGTGGATTAAGGCAAACAGGGGTTGAGTGACTTGCCTAGAGTGACCCAGCTAGTAAGTGTCTGAGTCTGGATTTGAACTCAGGACTTCCTGACTCTAAACCCAGAGCTCTATCTACTGGGCCACCTTGCTGCCTACAAACACACACACACACACACACACACACACACTATCTATCTATCTATCTATCTATCTATCTATCTATCTATCTATCTATCTATCTACCTATCTATCTACCTACCTAATGTTAAGACGGTATAATTGATGGGACTCGGCAACTGATTTGGCTGTATGTGTGTGTGTGTGTGTGTGTGTGTGTGTTGTGTGTGTGTGTGTGTGAAAGAGTGAGGAGTTGAGAATGACACCTAGGTAATTAGCCTGAAGGGAGGAGGATGACTTTGACAGTAATAAGGAAGTCAGGAAAAGGGGAAGGTTAGAGGGGAAAGATGAGTTCAGTGTTGGGCAAACTGAGTTTAAGATGTCCACTAGATAACCAATTTGAGATGTCCATCAGGTAGTTGGAAGTGGGAGACTGGCAGTAAACAGAGAAGTTAGGGCTGGATAGATTTGGGAATCATGTTCATAAAGATGATTATTGAATTTATAGGAACTGATGATATCTCCAAGTAAAATGGTCTAGAGGTAGAAGAGAAGAGGACCCAGGACCCAGCCCTTTGGGATACCCATGGTTCGTGGGAGAAACATGGATGAAGGTTCACATCAAGAGAGACTCAGAAGGAGCCATTAGGATGGAGTAGAACCAGGAGAGAGTAGTATTGCGAAAATACAGAGAGGAGAGAGCATCCAGGAGAAGAGAGTGGATCAACAGTCTCAAAGACTGAAGATATGAGAGTTGAGATAATTCTTCAGTTTAATTAGTGACTAATAATCGTCCATATTCATATTGTATCAGTTTGTTTAGGAAACTCTTTTGCTCTCTATTTTTAGATTATTGAGGAAACTCCTCAATTTCAGCAGGGACTTGCTATCTATAATCCACCTCTTTTATAAGAGAATTACCCATGGTGTATTTAAGGGACTACTTAAGTAGGCCAATATAACTAGATCTGAAGGCTCATGTTGTCTAATGCTCAAAGATAATGTTGGAAAGGCAGTTTAGAGCCAGCTTTTAGAATGCCTTGAATGCCAATATAAAGGATTTTATTATTTTCTTTTGGCAATGGAAAGCCATCAAACATTCCTGAGGTGGGAAGGGACCCGGTAAAATGGTATCCTCAAAAGACTAATCTGGCAGCCTTGCTGTAGGCAATGTGACCAAGTAAGAGACTATTTATTGAGTAGTC